TCGTGAGCGTTGCGTATATTGGTTGTGTTTACGTGGTATAAGTAATCTTGTTTATTTATATCAATTTGATTGTTTGTGATTTTGAACATGGTTGTTAATATGTGTGCTTGTCTGCGTATTGTGGAGGTATCCATGTGTAGTTGTTGTTTCATACGTGCTGTAGTGCCAGGAGTGTTAGTGTAATTGTTCGTGATGAACCTGGCTGCTAATCTTTTCCAATTTACTAATATTTGTATGTCTGTATGGGGTCCACACTGCGGCACAGTACTCCAGTGTCTTGTGTACAGCCGAGTAAGTTCTTCCTCAGGAAACCCAGTGTTCTGTTGGGTTTATGTTGCATGTTGTCTATGTGTGTATTAAATTTCGTTGGTGCGATTCCTAGATGATTGTGCGATGGTGTGTTGGGTAACTGTTGCGAGTGAATTGTATATGGGAACAGTTGGAATTTATGGTTTTATATTTGTCTGGCCGAAAGTTCATTTGCCATGTGACTTCCCATTGCTCGAAGGAGTCGAGGTCAGTTTGGAGGAGATTACAGTCGTCAGGTATTTTAATTGGTTTATAGATGAGGCTGTCGTCAACAAAAAGTCTAGTTGTAGAATTAGGGGTGGATAGTGGGAGGTCATATATGTGTATAGGAATAGGAGTGGCCCTAAGACGGTGTCCTGGGGAACACCAGAAGAGACAGAAACAGAACCAGAGCTAGATGTCAAGGAGAACGTGTTGAGTCCTACTTGAAAGAAAAGCTGTGATCCAATAAAGAGTTTGCCCAGTGATTCCGCAAAATTGTAGCTTTTGTGTCAGTCTTTTGTGAGGGACTTTGTCAAAGGCTGATGAGTAACAATGAGTTGGGATTCGCTTGATCGTTTGGGTCAGAATCCGTGTTGTGTCAATTAGTATGCTGTTAGTGAAAAGATAATTCCTTATGTGTTTGTATATGATGTCTTCGAAGATTCTGGAGACAATGGATACGAAGGAGACGGGGCGATAATTTGATGGGTCAGTGCGGTCACCTGCCTTGAAAAGAGGGGTGACGTCTGCACATAGCCAGTCAGATGGGAGAGATGTCCTGAGGGACTGTGTGAATATGATTTTGAGGAAGGGTGCGAGGACGGGGGCACACGTTTTGAGGGAGAAGAGGGGGATTTTGTCGGGTCCACTTGCTTTTTTTGTACCCAGTGTTTCTAGCAGTTTTTGGATTCCGTTTGTTCTGATGTCTAGAGGACATCGCCACCTCCCCCTACGCCAATCGGTCTGTCTCTACGTATCAGTGTCATACTATAAGGGGTTAGGAAAGATTTCCGCAGATTCTATGTCTATGTCAGCCACGTGTCAGTACCTAATATGATGTCCCGTCTGTATGTGTCAATACTATAAAGGAGTTGGGTTTTCTTGGATATAATGCTGCGGAAGATTATGTTGAGAAGTCGTACAGTTGTGGAAGGAAGGCGAGAAAAGGAGGGGGTGCCGGAGAAAGGGGTGAGCGTAGGAAAGGAAAAAGGAAATGAGGGAGAGAGAAGGAAGAAAGGAAGGGATAGAAGAAAGACGGGGGAAGGGGGCAGAAGACGATTGGAGGTCAATGCGGTAGGGGAAAGGGGGGAAGCAGTGGCGTAGATAGAAATTTTATAGGGGGGGGGGGGGGCGCGAGAAATGCAGATTTTCCGACAAAAATTTAATAAGCATTTTTGTTTCTTCATGGTTATTTTCCGACAAGAGTAGGAATTTGCCGATAAAATGGCAGTTTAGCTCTAGAGGAGGGTTTTCCGCCCCCCCTCTATCTACGCCACTGGGGGGAGGAGTGAGGGTGGGGGTTTGGGGAGGGTAATCGAGTGGTGCAAGGACGCGAAGGGGTGTTGAGGTCAGAGGTCAGAGGAGTCGGGGGGGGGGGGGGAGATGGCACTAAGTGGAAGAGAGAAGTATGGCATGGGTGTTGAAGGTGTGTATTTAGACTTGGGGTGGCAAGCGTTACAAGGTGTAGGAGGAGGTGGAATGTGTATAACTGAGGGATTCCATGAAGGGGAGGGGGTGTTGTGTGAAAGGCTTGTTTATATGTGTAAGTTGGATGGGGAAAAAAGAGTGTTAGTAGAGCCACACCTACTGCAAATCCACGCAATATTATTGTTAGCTAGTTCATCGTATATCTGTATAAACGTTCCGATGCATATCAACCAGCCTGCTCGGACCGGTTACAACAGACATTTCACTGCAAAGGTACTTTGGTTGTTAAGGGCCAGGGTTAACGATAGCACCAATCAATTATTTTTTTAATGAATTTAACATCCTCGGTAATGATTTGGCATAGTTTATACACTTTTTTTTCCACATATGTACTTGATAACTGTCTGACGGTAGTATTCTGGAGTACTCTTAGAAATATGCTTTAAGTTCGTAATTCCTGAACTCTAGTTTTATACAAGTACGGCATAAAAAAACACGCCATCGGTTTCGATTACTGTATATTCATGCAATTCTTTAATCATTACTAGATTTCTTGCCTACCTTTGTCTTCCATTGTTAACTCCTCATAGAACTATTTTTTTTTTCTAAGCTCTTCACAAAACTGAATAATATCCTATGTTGTATTAGTACTGAGTCCTTAGTAGACTTTAAATGGGTTGTAATGTAATTTGTATAAAAAAGTCTAATCTACTAGTCTGATTTTTTTTTTTCAGCGAAATGAATATACATTATATATTTCGTTATAAATTTTCCACTCAAAGTTCAAAAGTCATCCCGACAATACGTGAATTTCAAACCTAATATTAGATATACAATTGTGTTACTATAGTTATTTTCTTTAAGACATACAGTTTGTCTTCATTTCACCCCAATTATACCAGAATCTACCTATCGTAAATACCTGGTAGCTACGTGACACACACTCACACTCACCAGTCACAGCACAGAAAATTCTGCCAATTTTCCCATGCAGAAAATAGACCAGGTAATAAACCTTTTTGTGTTAGCGCTATCCGACTGCTCAGTACTAAATAAGGACCAAACAGAATATAAAAATAATTGTTAACTATGATATTTTGTTTTTTAGTTGCTAGTTCAATTAACTAGACATAAAACTATCACTTGGATTTTGCCGTCAGGGAGACTTCTATCGTTATACTTTTTGTTCGGAATAATATAGTTTACGTCGTTGTTATTGGAGATATCATCGTCATTACTATTAACCATTATCGCTTATTTTTGATTAATCGAAGTCTAAAAACACAAGATTTACATCACAAAGTACCCAAAATTCTGAGTTCCTGGCTTGTTATTATTCTACTTGTTAAGAAAGAAAAAAGAAAAAGTGTGTATGTGTGTGTGTGTGTGTGTGTGTGTGTGTGTGTGTGTGTGTGTGTGTGTGTGTGTGTGTGTGTGTGTGTGTGTGTGTGTGTGTGTGTGTGTGTGTGACATGTAGAACTATTAACTAGGACAACACATTGAAATATAAACAAAAGTGTCGGCCATCACGCCACGGGAAGCTCATGTCGACAATTATCAATCTCATTATTTCCAATGAAGAGTTTCCTAAGCTCGTCATTGTCGAAAAAACAAAGCCTTTGTTCATCGAGCGAGTGTTTTTTATGGTCGCATCCGAAATGTGTACTCCATTTCATAATTCTCCTAAAACGTGTTTCAAACTCAACCCAACTTGTCAGTTTTGTTGCTTAGGTTTTCGCAACGGTTATGTCCGTGATTGTAAGTTATTTTGAGTTATTTTCTCCTGTAAAGGAGAGAATGCAAGCAATTAAAATAGACTGATGTAGTTACGAATATCAGTAAATAGTTGAGGTACAAATAAACGAAATTAAGTGAAATTAAACGAAAACACCTTCATATATTTACCTATCCGTTGTGACACACACACACACACATACAAACACACA